CACGCTAGTAGTAACAGGTGCCTTACTAGTAGTAACAAGAAGCTATTTGAAACAAGTAAATAAGCCTAATCGCGATGGCCTCCACCTGATAAGCGATGGCCTCCACCCTAGTAGCGTTGGCCTCCTCTAAAGAAAACCAGTACACACTCAGGATTTCGTCTTTGGATCGGATGAATTGGTGAGTTCGATAAATTGTTTGTTTCTACTAGCTTCTTGTTTCTACTAGCTTCTTTTCTGATTCAGGGGTGCGCATCACAATTTGCAGCTTTGAACAGTTTAGTATTGGGAGTAAACAGTTTAGTATTCGTGAGAAAGCTAAGTAAGGCCAGGAGCTACTTGTAGCGTCAGGAGCTATAGTATTATCTCCAGTTTCATAGGAAGAATTCAAAGTGATCCTTTCTTTCGAGCCTCAGCATGACACCTAGCCTTTTTTTGCGCTACATTTCGGGGCCTTAATTTTGAGTGACTGTTCATTGATCGAATTGTAGGTGGAGGGCTCAAGGGATTGTCGACAACCGAGCTGATTCATGCAAAAAAAGAAAAAAGACAAAAGACAATAGTAGCTTTATCGTTCCTAGTAGTAAGGCCGGAAGCCCCTAGTAGCGTCCTTGCTCCGTTCGTAGCGATGCTGTTTGCTCCGTTCGTAGCGATTAATGCCACTACCATATTGCTCGAGGTGCCAACCACTGGGCGAACATGGACTGGTCCGGCAGGTGGTGTTTGGGTGGAGCCCAAGCCTGAGCCTAGTTTGAGAGAAGGCCAAGGCGCACGAAGCAGTTGAGAGCAGGTTTCATCAAGTTTGAAGAGCATACAACCTACTAGCGATGGCCTCCAACCTAATAGGAATGGCCTTATGCACGATTGTCCACACATGCATTGTCAGGCTTGCCCAGGGCAAGCCTGGTTGGCTCTTGGCTGGGCCCACAGATTGTTGAAACCATCTCCAGATTCTTCAGAGAAGGATGCGAGAAGTTGAAGGGTGCATGGTACTGCAGTAACGTACTACGACTATGCTGAAAGTTGCAATTGCTGGATTCAGGTTCCCTGAAGAAGCTATTAATCAAGGAGCTATTAGTAGCTCCTGGCATTACTACTAGTAACAAGAAGCTACTAGTGACAAAGGGCATCGCTACTACCAGCAAGAAGCTAGTAATGGCTGATTGAAACACAGAAGGTTGACCTTAAGGTTTACTGCTTTGTTGCCGTTGGCTGTCGGTGATCCGCACCTGGTTTTGCTATGTGTTGCCAGGCGTTGTTTTTGTCAGACTGTGTTTTTCCGGAGGCCATCGCTCCACGCTAGAATGTTCCATCCTTTTGCATCTTTTCACAGACTTGAGGTCGAAGGCCCTGGTTTCAACCAACCTGGCCCACTCTTAGAGGAAGTGCGGGCAAGCGATGAGGAGAGGTGGTACGGGAAAGCTTCGAAACACGAGCCCTCAGTTTCTGTCTTTACAGGCCAGGAGCCCCTAGTAGTGTCCTTGCTCCTAGTAGCGATGCCCTTTGCTCCTAGTAGCGTCCTTGCTCCTAGTAGTAAGGCCAGGAGCCCCTAGTAGCGTCCTTGCTCCTACCCCCCGCGCGCGCGCGAAAAGGTCCTAGTAGATTCCTTTGCTAGTAATTACAATTCTAATTAAATTCTTATTGTTACTAGTAGTAAGGCACTTGTTCCTAGTAGCTTCTTGTTCCTAGTAGTAAGGCCAGGAGGTTCTAGTAGCGTCCTTGCTTCAGTTTGTGTTTTGACACTTGAGGAACCCATCGTCCTCTATGCTTTGTCTCCCATCGATGACAGCGGCACGGCGCATTTGTCGAGTAATGGAATCACGCAAAGCGAAGCAAGGACGCTTTGTAACAACACGGAGCTGAGGTAAATTTTGCGAAATTTGCCTGAAGCCTTCTCAAACCGTGAAGCATGCCAAGCATTGGCTTGCCTTGCGCATGCCTGGTTTGAAGGCGCGGCGCCGCTCTGGTAGCAGAAATGGTGTCCGTAGCACCTTATCTTCTTGGGAACCGGTCGTTACCCAGTTTCCACAATTGCAACTTCCCTACGGCAGCCGTTTGACTGCCAATTGACTTTGCCATGGCAAGTATTTGGAAATGTCTTTGCAGAGGCTTTATGCAATGGGCGTAGGTCAAATTCATCAAACGCCTAGAGTCCAATGTTTTTGCAGCTCGAATGATGTATGTTTGCTTTGGGACATGTAGGTGTTCATTGGTTGCATGTGCTTTGCTGACGGTGATGGAAGGTTTACAAATCTTTTGTGAGGGACAAGATAGATGTTTCTACCTTTGCAAGCCCAGCCCTGTCATCAACACGGTAAATGCAAGCTCTAGACCTGGCATTATTTCACGCAGCTGCTACGCAGGACGCCTGCCCGTAGTAGATTCCCAGTCTTCAAGAGTGTGCCATAGGCTAAAACCTTGCACACTGAACTCAATGCTCAAAGTTACTACTTTTGCCCAAAGCCCATACCATGTGTGGCAGCTTCTGCTGGCTTAAGCGGCGTCCTAAACCTTGGGCAGTAAATGGAATCAGACACATTAAGATCCCTAAGTGACAATTTGCAAGGATCTTCCTCATCGCACTTCCAGCTGGCTATTTTTTGTGACGATATCAAGGATATATGCTTTTAACACACAAGATGATCCCCTTTGCTCGCTCGTATTTGTCCGAAGCACATGGGCTTAATAAAAGGACTGGAACAAAAACGAGATGTGGGTTGCTCTGGTTGCTAGTAGCGTCCGATCGCTCCTAGTAGCAATGCCAGGAGCCCCTAGTAGCGTCCTTTCTCCTAGTAGCGATGCCCGGGTTCCTAGTAGCTTCTTGTTACTAGTACTAATGCCCTTTGTTTCTAGTAGCGATGCCCTTGCTCCTAGTAAGGCCAGGAGTGCCCCTAGTAGCGTCCCAAGTGCACACCGGCCACCGGCCACCAACCGCTTCAAAGTAAATGGTATCAACGTAACTGTGCGGCTTCCTTAAGCATTGGATGTAAACAAAAAGTCTAAGTGGAGCCTCCAATGCCGACACTAGACTCATGGGTCAACGCAAGCTAGAGGAGGCGATGGCATCCTATCATACAACCTATAGAGACCCTCACCTGACGAGAAAAACAAGTTTAAGTTATCGGTATGGTCGGTATTGAAATACCGGTAACCGGTAATTTGTCTTTGTTTTATATGATATGTTGTTCATTGGTTTTAAGTATTGTTATAGAGTACTCACTTTCTTTTGTCTCTTGTATCCAGATTTTTTTCAGGTGGAGAACATCATCGTGAGAATCTAAGGATGGAGTTGACAAGTCAAACCACGCAGCGCTGATTGTTCCTTTGTTTTCTATGGTTTTCCTTCGGTTCCCTGTGCACCTTTCTTTTTTCCTCCTATGTTCCTGGGAACTGGATGAGTGAGCTCCAGCTTGGCGAAGACCTCGCTGAGGTGGCAAAGGAAAAACCCAGCGAGAAGACACATGGCCAGGGCCTTCGCAACTTCCCAGCCAATTGGATTCTGGAAGACGAGGCGTGGAACATGTGTTGCTTTGCACAATCAAGTGATGCAAAACAACTAGGATCCAGGCCATTGCTTCTAGGTTGGAGGCCATTGCTAGTAGGTTGGAGGCCATCTCTTTGGCAAACGTTCAACTCATGACTCATGGCCAACCTTTGCCGGCAGGTTCGCTTGCGAGACACCCCGTTCCGGGACAGCTGAGACGGTTACACCAATGCTCATTAACAAAAAGCTATTAATTAAATTAGTTCTAATTTAATTCTAATAGCTTCTTGTTACTACTAGTAAGGCACCTGTTACTACTAGCGATGCACTTGTTACTACTTGCTTAAAATGTTTGAATGCTCTTCGTGGAGTTTGTTTTGATCAAGACGAATATGTGAATGTTGTCATGAGACACACATTTGTCTCATGCTGACATTACACCTTTAAACTGCTCACCCGCCAAAATGTTTAGATGTTTTTCCTTTTCAATGATAAACCTCGATCCTTAAAATGTCGAATGAATCAAAAGGCAAAAAAGGAACTCAAAGGCAAAGAACAAGATCTTAAGATGTTTCAGGAGTTGTCTGAATGTGAAGTCCGAGATGTATTCCCCACCTGTCAGGTGAAGGTCTCTAGACTTGTCAGGATTTCCGCCCCCTCCGCCGCGTCTGTCTTCGGTGTGGTGCGCTCTGGACATTTTGCGGTTCCGGCTGAGTGGTGTGTGCCGGACGCTTGGCCGGAACACATGCCAGGCTACCAGACTTGATGCCAGAACAGGTGTCAGAACATTGTGTCAGTGCACATGTCAGGCAGTGTTTTGTCCGGATAGCCTGTTTATACAGGTCGCTTTGCCTTCTTCAGTTGCCTCTTGGGACGAAGTAAGTGGTTGCTCTTGCTACGGGCTTGCCGTTGCCAAGACTCGTTTCAATCATTTCTTACGGGTCATTGAAGAAGCTACTGGGGGGCTCCTGGCCTTACTACTAGGAGCAAGGACGCAACTAGGAACGGTCATTGAAGCTAGGAGCAAGGACACTACTAGTACGTAGGTCTTTGAAGCTACTAGTATCTCGTTGATCGCTGACAAGAACCCTACTAGCTTGTAAATCATTATAAGATTGACCTGGGCCCCAGCCTCGGAAACTTCGGTTCCTGGCAATAGCTGACCAATTGCAACCTATGGCGTCAGTCACCAAGCATTGAAATAATTTTGGTTGGCAGTGGTTTATACATCATTGAATGTTTTTGGCATTCCTGCCGGGCATCCTTTACCATGCTCTTGAATTTTATCGTGCCACAAAGAGGTTGACACTGTTACATCAGTGTCCAAGCCTTGAAGTCTTCGACTTTCCTGGTCGGAAACAGTTGAAGTGGTTTAACTTTAAATGTGTGTGTCACCAGGAAGTAAAAGGATGTGAGCCCCATGGAAGTTAAGGTTCACAATTGGCAGTGGTTTGTGCCTACAAGTTTTTTAATTCAGGGACATCCTTGCCCAAATATTGTCAAACGGTTTCAAGAGGGTGTCCGAAAGAAGTTGACAGTGTTTTTAGTGCCCACACCTTGGACAGCTGGGTTTTGTTCAATAAAGTTATGGGTATTTATATATCTGACTTATATAGCAATTGAAGAGTTGAAGGTTAAATCAAACAAATCAAACAATCAATACATTTTAAGCTGAGTTCCACTGTAGTTTTGCAAAGCAGGAGGTGCAGTTTGTGGATTGTATGTCTTGTAAATGACATTTAGGCAAGTACATGGGTTTTGTAAGATCACGTTATATTGTTTTGTTTCGACATTAAATAGTTATTAATTTGTTGAAATCATATCGCACGACTACTGGATCGAAGTGTGCGATGTTTGCCTATAATCATTGCAAAAGTCATGTTTTTGTGGATCAATTGACATACCTTTTGGCGGATTTTGGGCCGAACAAAACATAAATGTTCAACAATTGTGGGGTGGTTTTATTGCGGTTGTCATGTCGACATTGTATACACCTATTCTTGAATGTTTGTGTTTCGAAGATGGGCAGGACGGCGATGAACTGGTGTTTTTCTACATGGGTGACGCTGCCCAAGATGTGGCTGCCGCAGCTGCGGAAGAAGAGCGCAGCCGCAGTTAGCAGCATTAGCAGCGGAGCATGCTGAGCCAAGCGAAGAGTGAAGACGAAGAACCGTGAAGAGATGTGAAGAGCGAGACTCGAACCGATGCGAGAAAAATCAAAATGATGCGAAGAGCGTTTTGAGGTCTAACGGCTGAAGTGAACATTTGTAGTTTGTGTTTGCTACTTTGCTCCTAGTAGCGTCTTTGCTCCTAGTAGTAAGGCCAGGAGCCCCTAGTAGCTTCTTGCTCCTAGTAGCGATGCCCTTGTTCCTAGTAGCGTCTTTGCTCCTAGTAGCATGTTCTATTGAAACCGTGTGTCCATTATGTCCATAATATGATGCTAGGAAGCGCTAGACCTATTTTTGAGTCTTGCATAAGAGTTCCTTGCGCCTCGCACGACAGTGTGATGATGCCCCACACTGGATTGAGAGCCGCTCACCTCATTTGTTGCCCATAGACATCCCCTCAGCTTGTCAGCTTGTCCGTGCATTTGTCGGCAAATATGCAACTAGGAGCTCGTGGCCTCACTACTAGGAGCAAGGACGCTACTAGGGGCTCGTGGCCTCACTAGCGTCCTTGCTCCTAGTAAGGCCAGCGGCCCCGAACGTAGCGTCCTCTTGCTCCGTTCGTAGTGCCACTCACTTCCGTTGTAGGAACGTTCCTTTGTAGGCCCTGCAAGGCCTGGCGCTTCGCTGGCTCAGGTGTTGGCACACTTTCCATTCTGCATCTTCAGGGGATGGTGGGCAACACCTGAGATACCAAAATGGAGGAGGTATAACTTGTTACGAAATCCTTCCGATTACGCACTCTTTGTTGCCAATTAGAATCTGGATGCTGTACCTGGCACACCAAGATTCCATCCTTGTTGAGGCGCTGCACTGTGAGATTTGGTTCCTGAAATGCAAATGCCACTCCTAAAACAGCAAGTCTACGAGACCGGCAAGGAGAGCCCATCTAGCATCATAGAAGGACCATGTAAAAAGCGGGCGTTGCAAACGTGTCAGACGTGCAATGTGCGGTGTCAGAATGGTTCTTCAAAAAGGGATAAAAAAAGGGGAACGAAACGAGAGAACTTACAAAAAGATACCAACATACCATCGCTGTAAGTTCACTATAAGTGCATTAATTAAGTTACAAATGATGAGTAACTCCTTATCAACATGTGCAAAAACACCCGAAAGGCTGCCAGGCTTACTGTCCGTTTAGATGGTCTCAGTTTCACATTGTGCTTCCATGGAGTCCACAGACGCAGGTCCGTGCCGAATGGCCGAGCTGAAAAGCTGAACAGTTCGCTGGCGGCTGCTCTGAACAGTTCGCATTAAACATGTTTGCGATTGAACGAAACTGAAGACATGTTTAAATGTCGGTTTCTCAAATCTGCGAAAGAAAATGAAGAAGATTGGAGATTGATCAGACTTTTCCCGATTCTTGCCAGAGCAAACCAGCCTGGGGTCAGGGACCACATGCCAGCAAACCAGCCTGTAGTTGCACCTCGAAAGGATGCAGCTGTGAAGCAATGGGTGATTAAAACGGTACGTAGTAAACCGAACGTTGATTTGCCCATAGCCAGTGGCAACAAAAAGGGATGAAAGGTACGTGATTGTCACTGCTCTTCTTTCGAGCTCGTGAATTGCAAGATTCAGGGGCTTCCGTAGCTTCAGCACTCGCAAGAACCCCAAAACTTGCAGAATCAAAAAAACAGATCAACAAACTCCGAATCTGGGTTGTTGTCTTTTGGCACTGGGTCCATTCAGGGCACCCAATGCGGGTTGAGGACGCGCTGCTTTGGGACCATGTTTTGCGGCGCCTTAGGATACGCGCTGCTGCGTTCATGCCATTGTCGAGAGTCGAGACTTGTCGGTTTAAGCCAGAAGGCCGAAAAGTGGTGTGCAAAGATGCATCTATGCACATTAGGTCTGATGTGACCACAAAATGTTTTGAAACCTCAAGAACAAAGTGTTCAATTAAAGACAAAAAAACACATTTGCCTTAAGTGTTCGTTGCATGATTCTTGCCTTTTGTCTTTTGCGGCTTGGCCTGCCCAGACCTTTTTGTCAATCGTATTTTTTCTTGCAGACTTGGTGCGGTGTTCGATGAAAAAGTGATGTGAAATCCATCGATAAAGGACAGACCGAGGTCTAGGTGTGGCCGTAAAGAACACCGAAACACGGCCAACGCAATGCTCAGCGCAATGCTCAAGTCGCAATATCTAAGCGACTTGACATGTTTTGTCACAGGGCAGCAGTCGGTTCCTTCCTTTTCCGAGGGTTGGCTCAAGCTCCGAGCAGGGCAGCGCTGCGAGAATGGCAGGTCGTGGCGTCGCAGTTCGAGGTTCGAAACGACACGTCACACCGTGTGACATTTGTTTCCTTTTGGGCCGGACCTTACTAGTAGTAACAAGAAGCTACTAGGAACAAGTGCATCGCTTC